GAAAATAAAATTGCAATTTTATTCGTTTCATTAGATGTGAATGCCAATAATTTTGATCCCTCTTTCACTGCAGCCTTTCCTCCACAGTTTTAACTTCAACTTCACTTATTGATTTCCTTCTTCTCTGCTGGAAAGAGAAATGAACAAACTCTGTTCAAATAAGAGGTGGGAGAGTGGGAATATAAATACACGCAGTCAGTCAACTGTTTGGTTAACATGGGGGCATGACGGTTATCACACTGTGTCTCATGGCTGCTCAGGACTCTGTGCTCCTGATGCTCTTATCCCTGCCTCTTGAACAGAGGGTTACTGCTGGAGGTTATTCCCTGCTGACTGATGGTGGATCATCAATAAGTCCTTAGAGATCCTGAGAGACAGACGCCGAACCTCAGGGCTAATGATTCAGTTGTTTGAATTCTCCTGACGGCACAGTTCTGAGAAAAACTGTTACTTATGCTACATTGCAGCTGAAAGTTTACATCATGGTTGTCACCTGCGTTAAAATAAGACCTTAGAACCAASAGTGCTTATTAAAAGTTTAGGTGAAAGGACAAACATTTGAACATTCACACATTTAAGCCTGTGTGCACAACAGAAAAAGCAAAAATTTTAACTTATGTTTATTTTTCTTCCATACATTTTTAGCATGTAACATTCCACATTTTTTGTGCTTTTTCAACAAGTCATACATCCAAACATTCAGCTCATTTATGYCATGTGTGCCATGACTTTTGGTATTTGTGCTTTTTCAGCTATTTAACTTTTCCTGCCATTTTATAACTCACTRAAAATAAATGGAGACATCTTCAATATCTGTAAAAACCCTTTAAATGTTTTTAAATACTTTTTACCTTTTGTTCTAATTCTGCTTTTTTCTCAACTTTGTTCTATTTTCAGCTTTCTTTGATTTTTTATCACCTAATCTTATTTTTTCTGCCTTTTCAGCTATCTTTCAGCTCCTTTCTGTTCTACTTCTTAACATGTTTAGTCTTCTACTGACTCCGTTTCTTAAAGCAGATTTATTTCAAATTTCACCTATTTTTGCCTTTTTTAGCTACATTGTAGCTGTTTTGGTTAATGTTAGATTTTAATGTAAATTCAGCTTTTTGTAATAATTTCTGCATCTTACTGCTTAATTCAGCAAATGCTCTCTTTCTGCATCTTTCTGCTAATTTCAGCTTTTCTAAACTTCTCCCCCCAATTTAAATTTTTTTCCACTCCTTTCAGCTGTTCTCCTGATAATCTAAACTTTTTAGCATTTTATTGTCTTCTGTATACATCTTTTAGCTGATTTCTTTGAATTTCAGCTGTTTTTTCCCTTTTCGCCACTTTGTAGCCATTTTGGCTGATGTTTGTTTTTTAATCTAAATTCAGCTCTTTGTAATAATTTTAGCATCTTGCTGCTTAATTCAGCAAACATTCTCCTTMTGTGTCTTTGTGCTAATTTCAGCTACTTTTTAGCAGTTTGTCTGCTAATTATAGCTGCTTTAGCCATTTTATAACAAATTGGAGCTTTTTTTCTGACAATGTGAGCTTTTTTACTTTCTGTTCACCATCTGTCTGCCAATTTCTACTTGTTTTTGTCTTTATTTTCTTTTCAGCAAATGTCAGCTGTTCAAATTTAACTTTTGTTTTTAAACATTTGTAACTTCAGCAGCTTTCAGTAAAAATCTTTCAGCATTAAGCATTCACACTGCATTTTCACAGGAAATGTAAAATCTCTAGTTGAAAATGAAATGACGAAAACTAAACCTGGCATTTATTAAAAAACAAAAATCAGTTGACATCACTGTTGACTTCTGAACATCATCAGCTGTTGGCAAAGTCTGGATCCAGCATCAATAATAAAACTTAAGGGCGGTGACTCTCATGATGATTCTTTAACAGCTGGGTGGTAATGTAATGTAATGTAATGTAATGTAATGTAATGAAGAGTGATGCCTTGTTGAGACATTTCAGATTTATTCACGGTTACGTTTGATTGTCCCAGATCTGACAAAAAAATTTCGCCACTGATTCAACAACAGAACTACGCACATCCAGATCACATCAACAGCAAAATAAATCAACAATAAATAAATGATGCCAGCTTGAACCCATCAGCAGCTAAACCCACTAAGATAGCTTGCCAATCTATTTCAGAGATGATCATTACGTTCAATTAGAGTCATATCCTAACATGTATATCTTACACTGTGGGAGGCAAACAGATCAACGCAACAGCCTACAGATAAACTGAAACATCATAGAAACTCCACGAGGAAGAAATAAACCCAAAACGTAGAGAAATCAGCTGTAAATGTGTGACCTTTGACATGTGATGTGAAAAAGGTTAAACCATTACAGCAGCACCMGGATCTATTAGGCAGCCAGCAGACAAAACTCCACGGGCTGGAAAACAAAAACTGGGCGAGCTTCTGAACCTCAGTGGCTGGGTGTCCGACTTTTTAGACGGGTGCCTGAAAGCAGCGCAGCAGCTGCGGCTTTAGTGAGGCGTTTCCAGCCTGCAGCGGTCGCGACACGACTAAAGTGGTCCAAGGAAAACAAATTGGTGAACCAGACAACGGGGTCACAAATGTAAAAAGGCAGGAGGAACAGTGTGTGAAAGTGCTGAAAAAAGAGAAGTTAAAGCAGGTTCCAGTGAACGTGGAACAGGTCACAGAGAGCAGCTGGATTGATTCTGTGAAGCTACACAACTGCAGGGTGATTWTCGTCACCTGGTGGTTTTCTAAAAAGAAAAAAAAAAAACGAAGCACTGGCTGTTACGTTCATGTAATAATTACACCAAAAATGAAGACCTGGTCTGATTAATTATCCTTTTCTTTCCATCATAAGAGGCAGCCCAGTCTGCGTGCTAACTTAAAGACGTGGCAACAGGAGAGACTATAAAAAAGCAGGTGAATCCAGCAGGAACAGACTGATGCTTTGGGCAGTTTCCTGCAGGGGTCCTGCCATTCACGTGGGTGTTAGCTTGACACGTAAACATCGCTGCTGACCATCATAAAAACAATAATGGATGTTCTTTTCCTGATAGCAGTGACCTGTTTCAGCAGGATTATCCTCTCTGCTACAACACAGCTTGAAGAATACGCCTCCTGCGTTCCTTTAATTGGTGCTTTTACCTCAGAAATCTCTTCCTCTATATTTACAGTTTTTGTTCACAAGTAAAAATATTACATCTTGGATTCTGTGTATCAACCAACACGTTAGTGTGTAGTTGTTTTATTTATGGTACTGTTCAGTAGTTTTTGCTTTTTCATTGGTTTATAGATAATGAGATCATGCCTGGCATATGAAACTTAAAAAATAAACTAAATGTGTTGCTTGGTAACATCCACACATTTTTAAATTAGGTACTCATTGCAAACTATGACATCAAACATAAACCTAACGATATCAAATGTTTGGAAGAGTCAGTCAAGAATTTGGGTCCACACTCACTGAAGTAAAAGCTCGAGTCACATCATTGTAGGGATCTGCATCTGAAAATACCAATTTAGGCKCAAGGTTCAGATATTTTAAAATGGGATTCTGTGAAAGGATTAACAATAACATGTCGTAAAAAACTTTTTGAAYGACTTCTGTTTGGTGAAAGTAGTCCAAGTAAGGCTGAGACCTAATTTAATTGCTACAGTTCTTATAGGGCCAATATTATGTGATTCTCAGGCATATAACTAAAATAAAGTAACTATGTCACATTCAGTTGTTATGAAAATGCTGTCAATTTGTATAAATCAAAGAATTTGACTTTGCATCACATCATTACAAAACACCTTGAAATTGACCTCTGTCTCTTTAAGAACCTCCTACTGCTTCTGTCACGCCCATTTCTGCATGTCATTACAACAGCTTCATGCTGTTTACAACTGGTCTGAGGAGTGTTGTGTTTTGTTGCAATAATATCAGGATACAATTGAACTTAAAGTATGTTTTCTGAAGAACTGGAGCTTTCAGCTTGGTCAGATATCTATCCTGCCATCCTTAAACACACACACACACACACACACGTCAATGTAATTTATTTATTACCAAAATGTGGTGTAAGCATACAATATAACAGATTGTAATATAAGTTATGAATACTAACTGTAGATCACAGATAGAACAAACAAAATAATGTGAATTGTTATTAAAAAAGTTGATTTTACATGATATTGTATTGTAATTTATATAAGTTATATGGGTATTTAAGTGCAAATGATGTTAGCAGCTAGCTGTAGAACTTACTGTAGGAAAAATAATGTAAAAAATGTTTAAAAAATWGCATTCGCTCAAACTCCTAATAGGTTTTCCAAAGTTGTTTTAAGTTGCTTTAATCATAATTAAACCACATTTCTCCAAACTGAGGTTAACATACCATGTGCAACAGGTAAGATATTTATTGTTCATAACTATTTTATAGACCTCCGCCTTTAAATATCTGAAAGGCCTTTTAAATTAGTCAGTTTAAAGTTGAGTTTTATACATGAAAGCAGTTGTTTTTTCAGTCCTGCTGAAGTACTATAAAATACAAAATGAAAGGATTTTATTTTCCAATCCTTTAAGTTAAAAACAAAAGAGTGRCACTGAATAATGTTGGTCATGTGCGCCTGAAGGAGAGAAAAAATATTTATATTTCTACAAAATTTTATGAACTGTCTCTTTTAGTATCTAACTGAATTGTGCACACATTGATGTAAAAATGTCACATGGTCGATGGCTTTATTGCTTCATGATTATGTAGACGAGCGGAGGAAGCAAAGCCTGTTAGTTCAGGAGCAGAGTCGTCTGTGGGGGAGAAAAGCTCCCCTCAGAGTGGGTTTTGGGCTTTGTAACCGAGCAGACCTTTTACATGAACAAAATATTATATAACACACTGGAGGAACAACCTCAAAAGCTTCATGACCTCTTTAAATCTTAAACTTTTCTRTTTCTTGTKAGAGTTTTTTTTCTCCATTCTGAGTGCTAAAATGACTGCCGCACTGACTTTAGCTATGAGTGAGTTGTTAGCAGGTCGTTACCTTCAGTTGGGGGAAACAGAACAGCGCGTTTCCTCTGGGCTCAAGGATTAATGGTCTTTGTTGGCAACATTCAGCCCCTTACTGCACCTAGAACAAAGATGCATAAGGAAAGTTAATAAAAGGAAGCCGTTGATGTTAATAATATAATAACCACCAATAACTCATGAGCATTTTGAGTAAAAAGAAACTAAAATTTTCATCAACATCCAGGTTAAAAAGGCAACTTTAAATTAGACATGATGCTTTTAAATCCTCTTTTACATTTAATTCCTTTCGTCAGGATCTTTATAAAGTGGAACTGTAATGCTTTGGTCTGAAAYGCCACAAGTCCCGCCCCCTTACTGGGGTGTGTCTCAGATCAACTCATTTCGAGGTTGTCTCTTTGAATCCAAATGTAGCACTTCACACCCCACCCCCTCCAGCTTCCAGAGCAGTTCATTCTACAGTAGTTTGATAGTTTTCAACTATATAACTGCGCAGAAATGTTTCATTTACAAATTAACTGCAAGATATGAACAAGAAGACTTGTTGTTGAACTTTATTTGTTGAAGCCAGAGTTTGACCCAGAACCAGAGGAGGATGAAGACCAAACTGTAGTTGGTAAGTCTAGACATTATTTAGATTTTTTTTCCGCAAATTATGAAAAACTGAACGGGTAGAAAAATAACCCAAGCAAAATATAAAGATATTCACGCAGCACCAGGAGAAACTAACTCCAACTAATCTGCACTCCTAGAAACTTACACACAAAACAAAATGCATTTAATGGCTAAAAAATTGAAAATTTTCAGGATATGAACCTTTTAAGGTTGAACATTTCTTGAAGGAATGCATTTTGCCCTTAATACCTAATACCAATCTCAGTGGATGTTTGGGTCAAACCTTGTAAACGATGCAATCTTCTAAAGATTTCACAATGAAAAAGCTCAAAGAATGTGTTGAGAATAACTATTAGCTACTAAAAGTTAATGCCAAAGTTTAAAGCAAAATTAAATCCAACAGGATCAAATTAAAGCAAAACACTTTTAGAATCATGACAATACTTTAAATTAGCTACATCAATAGCACAAAAAGTAATTAAATTAGTGATTGGCAGATTATTTCTAATGCATTGTGGCAATAAATCATATGATTGGCAGCAAAAGCTCTTKTGTCAAAAGACAGCAAAACAAGCTGTTTAGCTGAGATTTAGCAAATCTTTCATGTGTGCAACCAACTCTACTGCTCACCTCACAAATGCATGTTACTTACAGATGTGACACCATTTAAAAGGAGAATTAACAGGCGTTATAACGGTATAAGATTTATTGTCAAGATACATTATTACAACAAAGAAATAACACAACAAACATAAATTTCCTCACGTTTTTTTGCTAAATTTATGTAGCATAATTTCAAATTGTGTTCACATTAAAAAAAACTTTAACATTTTACACAACTTATGACAGTTTGGTCTGACTTTTATGATGTCTACTGAAGATGGAATGAAAAAAAATGAACTGAAGTCTCTTTTGGTCATGTATTCCACAACACTTGATTTGATAATAATGAATTTGAGTTGTTTAGTCATAAAAATGTTCATAATTTAGCATAAATTGTTTACAATGTTAGTGTGACACAGCCTTTATAAGTATAATACTGTTATATAACAGATAAAGTAATTTATAGCCCTATTCATAGYTAAGCAGTCTACATAGGGTGGTAACTGTGGCAACATTTTCCCAGTGGCAGCTGCCACTCAGAGCCCCCCTCTACAACCGCCGGATGTGATTAAAGAAGAGTGCTGAACTTCAGCTTYAACTGTCTCTCAGTTTAGATAAAAAAAAGTGTAACTGTTGGAGTTTTATTGCCAAAAGCCTTTAATTAGTTGTCTCYCGGGGTTGACATGCTCACTCATAATGATGAGATCCATCTTGAAACGCCTCGCGACAGTAATGGGTTTGAAAGCAGCTGTGAGAGCGCGTCGATCATCTCTGCTCTGACTGCGCCTTCCCATCTGCAATAATTATGCAACATGAGGTGGGAATGACGACCACATATAGCTTTCCCTCCACAGCACCTGCGCCGCTCGCTGACACGAGGAGGACGGGAGTGGGAGCCGCTGCAGCGCCGCTTCGCTYCTTTTCTGGCTGAAGGAACGAGGAGCTGCTCAGACGCGCAGCTGAGAGTTTTAAACGCGAACATCCAATTGCTTTTTTTGCTTTCCTTCATCATCTCCTCGCACGCACGCACGCACGCACGCACACGCGCCAAAGCGCAGCCGAGAGCGCGCTCACATATCGGGGGTTAAAAAAAAAAAACCTGCCTGGCTTTTTGCGCCCCTGCCGCTCCGCGCTGGATGTTTGCGCAGAGGACACCGACYCTCCGCTGCTGACTTCCCCCCATCATCCCTGCGTCTCTCCCCGGTTCGGCTTCCCCATCTGGACCGCTTCAGCCAGGATCCATGGTTCTGTTTGTGACCCGCTCCGACGCGACCRTGGCTCGGTTTTCAGAGTGATCGATGCGCAATTTGGAGCTTTGGCGACGGAGCGGTCATTTATACGGTGACAGGTTTTCTGCAAAGTTCTATTGCGCCATAATGAAGGAAGAGCGCAAACTTTAAAAACTCCTCATTG